TCACATGTGCAAACCTATATAAGGATGCTCTTCTTAGTGGGTTTATAATGGTGAAACAATGTAAACAAGGTAATGACCAACTCCAAGGAGGCTTGTTTAGTAAATCACGGTTACAAGCAAATGATCGGATATAATGCAGTTATGAAAAATAATCTATTTAAACACCTTGGACCTCAGTTTCCTCATATTTAAATGGAGAAAACCAAAGAAACACAGAAAAAAAGAAGTTGTACTCCTCAACTAGCTTTATGAGGCTAGCAAATCTTCGATACCAAAATCTGACAAGGACATTACGAAGAAAGGAAAATTACAGGCAAACATCTCTTATGAATATATATATATACACACACACATATATATGTAAATCCTAAACAAAATGTTAGTATGTTGAATCCAGCAATATATAAGTAACAATTGTAATAAATCAGGAGCCAATTGGGTTTATTCCAGGAATGCCTGGTTGGTTTATTATTAGAAAACCAGACAATGTAATTTAGTTAGCATATTAACAAAGAGGGATAAAAGTATGTGATAGTCTTAATAGATACAGAAAAGGCATTTGATAAAATTGAACACCCACTGATGATTTTAAAAACTTACAGTATATTAGGAATGGAAGGAAACATCTTTAAATTGATATATGGTACTTACCAAAAACCTCAGCTAGCATCATATTCAATGTTGAATTGTTAAAAGTGGTTCTCTTGAGTTCAGGAGTAAGACAAGGACATCCCCTCTCACTACTTCTTGTACCCTAGGCCCTAGCCAGTGCAGTAAGGCAAGAAAAAATAAAATATATATTGGTTGGAAAAGAAGAAATAAAACTGCTTTTATTTGCAGTGTGCTCCTGTATGCAGAAAGTTCTAAGGAAGCTACAGATAAAAATTTACAATTATTAAGAGAGATTAACAAAGTCAATATACATCAATATCAAAAGATAAGTTATATTTCTGTATGCCATCAACAAGCAATAACCCTAACCTTACCCTACTCAAATTTATCTGGAATTCATATTTAGTGTCATGGGAGAAATTTAAACAAATGTTACATTTACGGTAACATACAAAATCAAATACCTTGGACTAAATTTAATAAAAAATGTGCAAAACCTCAAGCGAAACTTGTGAAGTTTTATTGACAATGTCAAGTGTTTGCGAGGATGTGGAGCAACAGGAAGTCTCAGACACTGACGGTGGAAGTAGGAATTGGTACAATTTTGGTATACAGTTTGGTAGTATCTAGTGAAGTTGAAAATATATTAATACATACTCTATGAGCCAGCAAGTCGGCTCCTAGATATACACCCTGTGTGTGCACATGTGTAGTGGGAGACATTAAGAACATGTTCATAGCAACATTTTTCATAATTGTCCCAAGCTGGAAACAATCCAAATGTCCATCAACAGTAAAATGGATAAATAATTTCTTGTAAATTCATAGAATGGAAAGCTGTAACACAACGCTGAAAATAATGGACCAATACTACATGCAACAATGTTGAATCTCAGAACCATAATTTTAAGGGAAATGAACCAGATACAGAAGGATACATGCATTATAGTTCTATTTATGTGAAGTTCAAAAACAAAACTATAGTGTTTGGGGATCCATACGTGAGTGGTAAAGCTATAAAAAGCAAGAAAATAACAGCCAAAGCTGTCATGAGAGTGGTTTCCTTTAGGAGAGAGGAAAGAAGTTGTGATTGGGTGGGGACTCTTGGGGATTTCTGGAGTTTTGGCATGTTCTATTTCTTGTATTTTTGTGGTGATTTGCTTTCTGATAACTTGTTAAGCTGTATATTTACATTTTATGCACTTTTCTGTTTTTTTCCTTAGAATGTTTTAGAATGCGGAGATACTGGGATCTATCTCAGGGTTTATTGTGAGAATGAAATGAAATATAAAACCATGTAGAGCTCTTAGAATATGCTTGGCACTTTGCAAGACCTTAATAAATGTTAGTGATCTAAACACAATACAAATTTGCTGTTATTATTGTTTTTCTTATTTGTTGCCCACCCCACCCCCTTTCCATGTTATTTGTTGCTATGTTTCTCAGCTTGCTGTTTGCATTTCGTTTCTGTTAATGCTGTCTCCTGAATTCTCGATCTTTTCCTTTATACTTTCTTTCATCGGTCTTAACCGTACAAAGTCCTCTTCAATCCAGAGATTTAATATGTATCTTGTCGCAGTTTTAAAAGGGGTTACTTTTGAACGTTTGATTTTTTTATTCCTTTTATAACAACAAAATATATGCTTAAAGAAGAATCAGTGCACAATTGCATAAAATCTACATTTATTTCTCAAATTTACCTGGAATTCATATTTAGTGTCATGGGAGAAAGTAAACTGACCTTTTTTTCTAATCAGATAATGAAGTTCCCCCCAGCACCAGTTATTGAACAATTCATCTCTCCCCCACTGACTTCTGCTGCTGTCTCTTCTTGCGTAAGTTAAATTCACAACCATTTGTGCTGAAAGCATAGACTGGAAACTTCGTACTTGAACTGAATGTGATAATGCAACTCGAAGGGGGGAGAGGGTGGTTGCCAGGCAGCAGGAGGGATGGCAGCAACAAGGAGGAAATCAGAAGGAAAGGTGGAAAAAGCCTGGGTCAAACAAGTATTCCTTAAAGCTTAATCTTTGTGTGTTACGCACAGGCCACTTGCTGCTATGACATTTGACTATGTCCACCTGGTTTCCTCATGCATCAAATACATATAATAATAGCACCTATATCACAGGGTACTGTGCATGTGAGAGCTAACCCCCGTAAGGAACACAGGCTTTGGGGTCAGTTAGCTTGGTGTCTCATCCCCAGCTCCACCACTGAATAGCTACATGACCTTAAGTAAGTTTCCTAACTTTCCAGCCTGTTTCCTCACCTGAAATATGTATCAATTAATAGTAATTAATATTAATGGTAATTATAAATAGTAATAGTAATACCTATCTTAAAGAAGTTGCTGTGAAGATTAAAAAGCTGATAATGTATTTAAAGGTCTTGGCATTGGGTGCCTGGTACATATTAATAATCAAGCTTTCGATAAATCACAGTTATACTGATTTTAATCTTTATCGCTCTTATGGAAGGATCAGGAAGAGAAAGAAGATTCAGCAAAGGCGACGGAGAAGTAGGCACCGAAAAGATCTAGGAGAAGGAAACCACGAGCTGGGTGTCATGGAAACAAGGGAAAATAGTATCAAGAAGGAGGAGATAATGCAAAAGGAGGTCACTCAAAGGCTACTTTCTGCTGACAAGATAAAAGAGTAATTTTCATCTCTTAGCGACTGAGAATGGCGGGAGAAAGGAAGGGGGAAAAAACGATAATTTTAAATGAAGGATATCGGACACCAAATTCTCTAAAAGCCTTCTTTCGCTTAACCTCATTAATCAGCCCTTGTCTTCCATGTCTTCCCATTAGGGATAATTCGCACTTCTTGAATAAAGGAAAGGCCAGTGTCCACAAAATGAAATAAAAAGTATCAGTTTTGCATTATTTTGGTGAAATAAAAATTTAGTTTCAAGTCTATCCAACAAAGAGGATGGAAAGGGAAGAAAAGGGGATGCATTACAGAACAGGTTTTCAAAGCAACGGTCTTGAACCTTCAAACTAGCCCCAGTGAAAAGGAGGGTGGGGGGTAGATGTAGCACTTATTGCTCTTTTTACTCTACCTAGTTTCAGAAAGAAATTATGACAGCGTAAACTGTGTATCTGAGTAAATCATTCAACAGCATTTATAGAGTAAAATTGAGAAAAGGTGAGCAGGAAGTGGAATGACCTTCTAATCTGGGAGAGATGAGTGGGCAGATCCCCTTCAAGGATAGATTTAGGGAGGGGTAAGAGCTAGGGAGTGTTGGGGGCTTCTGTGGCTTTGGAAGCCTGAGTGGAGCTGCCTCCTGCCTGGGTGTGGGGGAGGGGGGTCCTTTGGCTCTGGAGAGAGGGAGGTGGCTGCCAGGTGCCAGAGGTGCCCCAGAGGTATGCAAGGAATGGGCTTCTTGAGCTGTTGTTCCTGCCCTGTTTTCAGTTAAAGGGTCAGAGGTAGAGGGGCCCTCCCCAGTCTACTGGCCTTGAGGGTTAAGGAAGCGGAGGTTTAAGGCCAACTTGGAATGCAGGAGGGCGAAGGGATGGGCAGAGCACCAGAGGCACAGCCTCTACCCCTCCACCAAGAAGTGACTGTGGCTCCAGGGGAGGGGGCGGTGGTAAGGTGAACTTGTGGGGATGTGGATGGAGCAGGAACAGGGGCAGGGCTGAAGGGGGTGATTCTGGAAGGAGAAGCACTTCCAGGCAGCTTCTGGGTGTGGCAACCCAGGGAAAGCTGCATTGGGCTTCTGGCAGTGCCTGGCTTCTACTCCCTCGGGGCTTCAACCTGCACCCCTTTGTCCCTATTGAGCAGGCCATTGCCTGTTAGCCTGTGCTTCCTCTCCCTGAGGTGCCAGCTCCCACGGCTGCACCCTCTGTCTTCTCAGCCCAGGGAGCCCCTATTTCCTTCCTAATGAACTCCCTCAGGTCCTCAGGTCTGCATTTATTTCACCTCACTCCTTGCCTTAAATGAAATCATGCCCCCCACCTTGTCCTGTTCAGGAGGATGGGACTGCCATGCCTCCAAGGAACATAGGACCCTCAGGGATGGAGGTCACACATCATCTTTTATCACCCTCCAATCTGAGGTCAAGAGATGAGGCAGGAGCAGGTGTCCCTTCCCAAAGTGAACAGGAACAGAGTCTCTGGAATACTCATTTTCTATATTTGCCCCCTCCCCTCCATGGTCAGACTTCTCAGGATACATTCGAGAAGAGAACATTGGGTGCAGAGTTTGGCTCTATGACCTAGGGGACAGGTCAGTCATGGTGGGGACTCATTGGGAGATATACAGTCCGTTTCAGCTTCCCTTTTCCTTTTCTGTAAATGAGGTTGATAACCCCACCACATGGTATGGCCCCCTCCTTATAGCTTTTATATTTTTATTTTTCCTTTAATAACATCACACAGAGGCATTAAGTTAGATGCTTATATATATTCATTGACATAGAAGTCCACAAGATATATTTGGTGAAAAAATACACAGTATAGAACAGCACTTATATTTGATCACTTTTATCTATACATAGATATCTATCTGGGTACATAGGTATAGGGAATTATCTGGAAGGACAGTCACCAAAGGGCTGACAATGGTTACAGAAGGGTGGAGAGTTCAGGTAATTTGTACTTTAGTTTTTGTATTTTCCTTTATTTTCTGAAGATTTAACAAAAGATACTTTCATAAAAAGAATAAAGTCACCAAAGAAATAGACACACACAGAGAATGGACCCTTAGGTGGGCAGAGGAGGGAGCAGGGACAGATCAGGCCACCCCCCTCCACTGCTGGTATGCAAGAACTCTTCTTCTCAAAGGAAAACTGCTTCGTGGAATAATTCATGCAGTTAGAACCCCACCCCCCCATCCCTGTTTTTCCCATCAGCAGACTCTGAATATAGTTAAGGGTTCACTTAGGGCTGGGTCTACCACCTTACTGTGGCTCAGAGAGGTCACTGTGTTCTCCAGGAACCTCTTTTGACTTCTCCCCTGTATGTGTCAGCTCCTGCAGGGTGATGATCAGATTCTCAAAAACCTGGGCCCTGTTGCTCTCATTGTCACAAGTTTCTTTTGAGTGGCCCTCCTCACCGCAATATGAACAGCAGATTGAGTATTTTCGCTTCCTGGCTCTACGCGTATCGCCAGGACCACCATTCTTATACCCAAAAGCACCACTGGTGGAAGGAGACTGAGCCCTGGAACTGTTAGGGGAATCAATAATCAGCACTTGATCCTGAGGTCTGGCTCTCCCTGTGAAGGGAAGGGCACCCGTGGGTGTCAGGGGAGGGTCCTGAGACTCCACCAGGATCACATCCTCATCTGAGTCATCGAGGGTATCATCTATCTCTATTACGTTACAGTTGTAGTCAGCACTGCCGATCGCTATTGGCTGGGTGCCCTGAAATGTTACAGGGCTGGCTGCCCTCTCCATTATTGGCTCAGACCTTTTGGCCCGCTTCCGTTTAATAAAAGTGTCATCCCAATCCTCTTCCTCCCTTATCATCCTGATTAACTCTAGGAAATTGGGAAGGCGCTCCTGCTCATTTGCATACATCCTGAGAAGATGCTTAAGCCTGAAGCGCAGGTCCCTATTCAGCTCAGCCCCTAAAAGGAGTTGTTGCAGGCGAGTCTGGTTTGCATCCTTCTCAGCGAGCATGCCTGCCTGGATAGCATTCTGGAGCTGCACCTCTAAACGGATCACATAAAGGGAGGCTTTCTCGCCTTGCGCCTGCAGGGTGTTAAAGAACTTACCATGGGCAGTCACACTGCATTCAGACTCCCCGAACACCAATTTCATGGCCCTCAAGAAATCTGCCACACTTAAGTTGGGGTTGGCCGCCTGAAGCAAACGCATAACCTCTCGGGCAGGGCCCCTAAGGGTTTTCATCAAGCGCTTGAGTTTCTCCTCCTCAGACATATTCCAATCTGGCAGGACCCCATTGACTTGGATCAGCCAGTTTTCAAAGGTTTCCTCCCCCTGGGCTGGCACCACCCTCCCTGAGAACCACTTCATGTTTCTCTCTGCCATGTTGACCATTAAAGGACTGAGACTCCTTCCCAGGGACCTCAACATGGAATGGGCCCAAGGCGGCAAGGGTGCGTTCTGCCTCCGGCTGTTACCCACACGTGCGATGATGCTAGCCATGACTGAGGACGGTCGAATATCTGAATAAAACAAGATACTCAGGCTCTTCAGAAAAGCCTAATCTGCATAAATCCCCAAAGCGACGTCCTGGGCTGTGCTTGCCTTGAATTTCAGTAGGAACTGTAAAGAAAAAAAAAAAAAAAGGTTAATAAGGTAGCGGGCTTTGGGGAATCAGTCTGCAGTCGCATTCTCTACCTTCCTGAATACCCTGCAGTGCATTTTGTATCTGCTCACCGCCCTAACTGTACCCTGCAGAAGACGGACAATCACAGCCTCCCAGAGCTAGCAGGTGTCCCTGCGCTAGCAGGGCGTTTTTCAGAGCCACATCCATCCCCTCCTGCCCATACTCCAGGAGGGGGGACAACTGTTGCTTCTAATTCTAGGTGAAGTAGTGTTTAGAGCCAATATCGGGCTCTCAAAATAGAGAATCTCACAAAGGCTCACAGATTTTTGGTAATAAGATCCGTATTAACCTCACGGTCTCAGGTCTCAACCACACTCCCTTGTCGAAGTTTCCCTAGTTATTTCTCAGATTCTTACACGAGCTTGGGAACTAGCGTTCAGCCTTTATTTCACTTCCAGCCTCTGCAACAGGTGCCCTTCGTGAGAAAACTCGCCTCCGGGTACGGTCGACCTCTGTCCCCTGGGGGGTCGCAGATCCCAGTCCTCAGGACTTCAAGGCTGTGGGGCCGCAGAGGAGAGGGGAGGGGAGGGGAGGGAAGGGAAGGGAAGGGAAGGGAAGGGTCAGAAGCAGCTTCATCCGTCATCCAGTTACCTTAACCCTCTCCCTCTCCCCCCCAGCCTCCGTTGTCGCCAGGCGGAAAATTCCCTCTGCCCCCTTCTGGCTATGAGCCAAAGCGCCCCTCATGACATTTCCTTTGGGAAACTGTCGGCCTACCAGCTCTGCAATCAGCTGCACAGAATTCAAGTTCGAATTTGGCTTTGATGACCTGCCAGGGAGAAAGGGGATAGAAGTTGGATGTCCTCCCGCTCCCATATTCCCAGGAAGAGATGAGGAGATGCAAAAGGGGTTCAAGACAGACAGCTTGCATCCCCCTACCTACCCCTTGCCACCTCCCTGAAAACGCCCCCCTCCCCAATCCAGGCAAATCCTACCCAGTCAGCAGCATCCAGGTGAACCTCACCTCCTCCCTCAGCGCAGCCTGGCCACTGGAGTGCCCCTTCCCCTGCCTCGCAGCTACCGATTCTCCAAGCCGGGAGCCGCCCGGTGCCGGCGGTGCTTCCCCCGCGCCCCCTTTCTTTACCTGCGCTGTGCTGCTGGGCAGCGGATGCTCTGGCGTCCACAGCTCTGTTTCGCCTTCCGGTGTCCACGGACCCGCCGGGGGGAAGAAGGCCTGCGCCTCCTCGGCCGCTAAGCGACCCGGGGCTGCAGGACCGACCGAGCTGCTTCGCACGACCGCCCAGCGAGGGATAGCCGAGTCGAGGCAGCACGGTTCCCAAGGCAGCGGAGGCCGTCCCCGCCCTCCAGTTGGGCCCTCCCAGTGGCCGCGGCTGCTTTTAGCCTCTGCCCATTGAGACAAAAGAGCGTGACGAGCGGGGCGGCGCGGCCAATCAGAGGGGCGCGGGGACGGCCTCCCGCGCAGCCTCCAGCCCGATGCTAAAGCTGGCAAGAAGGGGGAGCCGCTGGCGGGGGCTGCGACAGACAGGCGCGGGAGCCGGCGCGGCGTCAAGTGCACCTCGGACGCAAGGACGGGCCCATTTACATTTCACCCGTGAGTTTGCTGTTACCCATCGCTTCCCTTCTTCCTATCCCCTTCCGCCTCTGCTCTCCTCTGCGCTTTGAGACCGGATGCCTTAAACACGAGGTGGGACAGAAACCATGTGAACAATGAGAGTTCTTCACCTTTGTATAGGGGGAAGGGGGAAAACAGCATTTACTGAGCGCTTTCTGTGTGCAGATGCTCTTGCACGGACATCTCATTTCTTCTTCTCAGCAGCCTTGTGAAGGAGGTAGTAGTATGCCCATTCGACAGAGAAAAGACTTAAGTCTCCAGGCAGTACAGTTAGGAAATGCAGAGCTAAGAGCTCACACCCAAGTCAACATGTCTGACGTCAAAGGCTGCCCCTTGCAAACACTCTATACTGTCAGATTACATGGCGAAACGCCAAAGTGGGCATGGGAGGACCAACTTGGGACCATATAGAACTAGTGAGAAAGGACTAATATCTCCATTTTACAGATGAGGAAACTGAGCCACAGAGAGGTAGGCGTCTTGCCCTGTGTCACACAGCAAATAAGTAACAGCACTCAACTTTGCACCTGTCTGTTATTCTGTGGATGCTCTTTGCCCTGCTGTGCTGCCTGGAGAGCATTTTTACATAGGTAGTCCCAAACCAGCTCAACAGCAGTCTCGATGTGATGGTAGTGCTGAGGGAGGGGGTGAGGAGGCAGTGGGGAGAGGGGTGAGGAAAGAGGAAGGCAACCTTTATGATACCCATTGTACAGAAGAGGAAACTGTGGCAATTTCTTTTACATTATTTCTTTTCTTACACTATTTTTTTTTACACTACAACAGGCTGCCTGTTTATAAAAATAACATGATTTCTACAGCACTTTATGACCCCAAAGGAGACAAGGCTCAGAAATGTGAAATTGACTTGCCTAAAATTACAAGGTGAAGCCAAAATTTGGACCAACTTTCTCAATCCAGAACCCATGCTATTAAGCAAAGTATGAGTACAAGGCTAGCTGCCTCAGAATCATTTTGGAGAGCTTGTTAGAAATGTATATTCTGGGCCCCACCTCTGAGGGATTTTGATGTACTAGGACTAGGGGTGAGGAGTGCCATTTGTATTTTTAACCAGCGCTATAGTCAATTTGGAGGTGAGAGAGGTTTGTGAACCACTGTTCTAGACACCACCAAGTCATGCTGACAGTTGTAAGTAAATGGGCCTGCCATTAATGTATCTGTCCACAGCACATCTGTCATGAAATGTAACTCCAGAGCAGAGGTTTCTAGCTGGGGTCCTTCCTGAAATTGTAAGCAAAGAATTTGGACTCTGTATACAGTTTTCGAGCGTGAGGCTTTGTATTATAGATTTTCAAATGAAGTCTGTCATAACATCTTCCTCCTTCAACTTTTTTGTTTAAGGAAGAAGTGTGAGAATGAAACACAATTTACCCTAACCCCCAAACCACAGCTCTCTGCCGCTGATATAGCTCTTTCATTTCCTGGCTCAAGGATAGGTTGCTAGGTTGCCCTTCTGTGAGCTCTTCAGGGGACTTCTCCTTTGCTGGATTTGGCATCACTGGCCCCAGAGAAGGAGAAACTCCATGGAAACGGCATGCAGGGCTGTCCGGAGTGAATGGGCCATGAAGCCAGTGGCTGGAAAACCTGCTCCATTTCCCCTGACTTAGAGAGCAGGTATTACCTCTCTGATACATACTGTGGCTAGGAGGTTCCAGTGGGGCTTCTTCTTGACTCCTCATGCTAGGAAGCAAGTGAACAGTCTGATGCCCTTCAGCTGCTGTTGAGTTTGTCTTCAGCCTGCCAGGGTACTTCATTCACTGGCGCCTTTCTGCCCTCTTAGTTATAGCCCAATACCTAGAGTTCCTTGGGGTAAACAATCCAAATTTAGAGATGAAGCACCTTCCATCTCAGGATTGTGGTCTCATGGACAGAACAGTGGGGTGGTGGTGGTGGAGGGTGGAGAAGGCAGGTTGCTCACCTCGCACAATCAGGGGTGATGCTGGCAGTAGCTCTTGGGTTTCCTCTAGACTCTTGCTTCTGCTCCCTGTACCATAACATCTCACCCTGGACTCTCACCAGACTCTTGTTCTGTGTTGAGATTGGCTTCATCGCCAAATTAGGTATTTGCCATTGGACTTGGTGTGGGTGGGATCCAATAGGACCAACAATAGATCTCAGAGCTCTGACAAATATAAGGAAAGGAAATGGATTGTGTAAAGGTGATGGCGGGGATGGGAGACATTAGAGCAAAGTGAGAGTCTCTTTGTGTAGAGCTGGGAGGACCATTTATTTGCAAGCTGGCTCCAACTGGATGCAGAACATCTCTTATCTCTGGCCTCATGTGTGGGAGTATGTTACAGTTGATGGTTCTAATGAGATCACATTTTCCAGTTTCAACAAATAAACCTTAAAAGCTTGAAGGTTAGGAGATAAAGCTTTCAGTTGAAACAATAATCACTGCCTGTGGCTGCCTGCCTCCTCTGTGCCAGGAACTTTCCATCTGTTATCTCATTTAAGGTTCTCATGTTGAGACAGCCATTGTTACCCCACTTTGCAGACAGCGAAACTGAGTTCCAAGGAGGTTAAGTAACTTGTGTGAGGCCTTACAATTTGTAAGTGAAGGCACTGGGACTCCAGCCCAGGGATATCAAGCTCCAAAGCCCATGAAAACTCTTCATTGCTGCCTTCCAAACATGCAGTTTAAAATGCATTCTGCAGATGACCCAGTGCATTAGACCAATTTCAGACTTTAGGACAATTTAGTTGTAATCTTACTTTTATTCCTATTATCTCATTTTTTAAAAATGAAATTACTAATATAACTCATGGAGCAACTTATATACTGGGTACTGTGCTACACACTTTATGTACTTTATCTCATGTCTCACTCAACCTTTGCGACAATCATTTTACAGATAAGGATACCAAGGCTCAGAGAGGCGAAGAGACTTGGCCGAAATCATAAAGGTAGGAAAACGGCAGAGTGAAATTCAAATCCTGGGCTGCCTGACTCCAGAGCCCATGTGTGTTCCCTACAACATGCTGCAGTGGGGAAAACAAACGTGGCCCTCATTCTAAACTGGGTCCTCTCTGTCAGCTACAGCTCTATCTTTTTCTCATGGTCTACAGACACCCCATGTGCTACTCACATTTTTAAACCTCTGTGCCTTGGGCCTCTTCCTCAGCCTTGAACGCCTGCCCTCACTCCTCCACTTAATAAGAGCCTACTTAGCATTTAAGGATTGAGTCATATGTCCCTCCTCAGAGAAATTTCCTTGTCCCAGGTGG